GCAGACAACTGATTGTCTGGTGGCAAAGATAGCCGTGAGCCCAACGAAGCGATTAATTTAGTAAGTATTATCAAGTTCTACTAATTGGTAAACAAAAGTTGCGAGAGCTGAGTAAGTGAAACAAGTCCATTAACACACGAAGCAAACGCGAGACTTTCAGACTTTCAGACCAGACTGTTATGCGTCTACAAAAAGAATCAACCTGTCTCATGTTTTGTCGCATTTCTTTGCGGTGTTGTTTCCCTACAACCGAAGATGAATAGTATGAGTTTCTTGAACATCCCATTAATTCCCTCAATCAAACCCGGATGATGTACAGCTTGTCGAGGACAAGAGCGGCAACAAATACTACGGACTTTTTATACTTTTTATCGAGAACATTTATAAAAGTTATTGTTGACCATTAAAAACATAAAACAGAGATTGAAATACCTTTCCTCGCTTCGGATTTATCTTCCCGATTTCTTCGTTCTTCGAACTGTTCGAGTTCCTTCAAAAGCTCGTTTGACTCTGTTTCAGCTAGAATGTTCTTCACAACATCGAGATAGTCAATCTCAAGATTGCCTTGATTCTCCAGTTCTCTTAATAGCGAGCGAACATCCTCAATGTTGCCTTCACTCCCCTCGCGAACACTTCCCCTGCATATCGCGATCAGCCGTTCCAAATCATTGAGCGTATCGAGTGAAGAAATTATCTTTTCAAGCAAGGCCTTGTATTCCTTTCTTTTGCACTCGAATTTCTCCACCTTTTCAAGAAGAGCCCAGTCTTCGACGCCCCTCAACAGTCTTTTCATTAGCTGAAGGCGATCACTTCCTAAATTATTATTTTCCTCCAACTCTTTACACAACGACAGAGTATCATGGATGTTGCCTTCGCTGCCTGGCGCCAGATTCCCTCTGCACATGAACAGAAGGTGATCGAGTGCATTCAGTTCGTCGAGTTTCCGACTTATTGCGAAGAGTAAGTTATTATATTCAGTGGCAGACATATTAAATCTATGATCGTAGCAATTCTCTTCCTATTTGCAAAAGGCTTAGTAATCCCGTAATTGATGTTTCTTTATGGATCCAACATGGCGGATACAAGAACATCACGACAATGCAAGTCACGCAACTAAGTGCCGTAGAAAACTGCGCACGCGCACTCCGGTTCCTCAGGAGGAAAGGGCGGAGCCCTAAGCCTGAAGGTGACATAACTTCCTGAAAGATGAGTCTCTTATTCTTTAGCTCCGCTCACCAGTACAATTTAGTAAACCGACAAGGGCAAATAGAAGTGGTGCATAAAGCGTATGTTACCGCACATTAAAGACATGCATGCCGAGATGTTCAAGAGAAAAGAACACTAGAATTAACTAGTTACAGATAGAGCGTTAAGTAACTCATAATAGTACAAAAGGAAATGCACGCTATGAAAGGTGTTTGGGTTTTGAATTTCTTTACGTCCCTGCGCACTGAAGAGCTAAATGGTTACAAAAAGAACCGTTCAAGAAGCACCACGCTCCATGACGAGTTTAATTTTAACGGGGAAAACTGGAGTACGAAAAACACATCAGATAAATAGTTAAAACGAGCGTTTTTGTTTTTCAATTCTCAGTAAAATAATCTTAACTTAAAGTTCTCACCAAATTGTGGCAAAATAAGATCATGAAAAGAGAAGATCGCAGGTTCCCTAAGAAAATCCCAAAGAAATTAGGAGTAACTAATCAAGCCCATTAAAAGTGACAAGAGCTTTCCGTTATTTATTGATGGAACATTTTCGCATTTTCTAATTTTACTGTCTATTTCTGTCATAATGTCGCGGTTTCAAAAACAACTATGACCTAAAAAGTGCGACAGTTGTGTCAAGTGTCGTTGTTTCAAGAGCAGCTATGACCAAAGAGTGCGACTGCTATATGATTCGAGCTTCAGAAAAGGCAACAAAACGTTGTCATTCATTTCATCCAGTTTACACAGACACACAATCATCATGGACGCATGACCGCTGCAGTAGTTGCTTTTACAATAAATATCCTCAATGGAAAAGCTCATTCGTAAATTTAGCCAAATGAAATTATCTTAGAATTAATCACTGGTCAATTTTCACAGAAGGATTATGTAAATGTGAAACCAGCCACAGTGTATGTGTTGTAGACTTTTTCCATGGACACGATATACGCAGCTGTCCTTATGTCTAGACCCAGTTCGTACTCACTAGCACAGTGCATAATTTGCTAAAAGGAAAAGAAAATCACAGTTAAATTCACTTTTTAACGAAGAAAAGTCCAAAATTACTGGATTTGTTCTCGATAGTCTGAGTTCAATTTCTTGGCCTCGCTTATTATACAACCAACTGGTCGGCTTTCTTAGCTTATTTACAATTTGTTCGTATTGGCCCTATAAATTTTCATTATGTGAGTGGTCCATTAATGTTATCATCATCGTTATGATAAATTTTTGAAAAATCTCATGAATTATCAAACCTCGTGCTTGTTTCATCTGCTTTAGCCTTCGGTTTCGGCAGATGACTCAGACCTCGGTTTTGATACGTAGACTTTCACTCAACAAAACGAGAACTGTGATTGGTTGATTCTTGGTCACGTGCTCCTGGTCAAATTCAAATGTATCCCGACCGGGATACAATTGCGTATTGGTGCCCGCGCGCCGAATACAACAGCACATGATTGTTTAAGGGAAGTCTAAATATATAACAAAGCACTTAATGTATGGTCCCTCGGGAAATTAGTTACTTTTGTTTTCCCGCGAGTCCTGATGTTTCCCTCGCCTTCGTCTCAAGAAACATCAAGAGTCTCGGGAAAACAAAACTAACTGTTTCCCTAGGGACCATACGTTAAGTGTATAGTGTCATGCTCAACCTCATCCAATAACTGCTTATCATTACCGGACCAAAAGGGAAATTTGTTTTACACTTATTATTAATTTCCCAGGAATGCTACCAGTATGTTATGACGTGATATACTCGAAGCAGTTTTCCAAATATCAAACGTGGGCTCTTTTTTGACGGCTCAGCACCCAAGGTAAGCACAAATATGGACATGATTTCGTGAAGAAAACCTCGAATCAGTGACGAAATACCTTGGCTGATCGTTCCATGGTGAACTCCAATCCAGAATGAACAATATCTTTTTCATTCGCGCCCTAGAAGATTACAAAAGTTTAAAATTAAAAGACTACATTACATTTTAGGCGCACCCTTCCCCAGATCCACCTCTGTGGTGCGTATTAACAAAGTGAAAGCAATGCTCACAGCGATCTTTTGCAAGAACTCAGCCGACGGTTTGATTGGAATGGCTTCCTTGAAATGATTATACAGGCTTTCTTGGACGCTACCTGTCGAAGAAGAGACAAACATTCAGAGACACTAAGAGATTATCAAATAACAGCACTTGTACAATACATTTGTATCTATGGGGACATTCAATACAAAGAGGTCACCAAAAGTGTTTATCAATAAAAAAAAAATGCCTATGAAGGTGAGCTGTCTCTGGTAGCTAATCAAGTAAAGAGGAAGAAAAAAAGTTATGCAGTTCAAAAAAAGGTAAGATTGGTCGTGATGGGAGTTCGAGGTTGAAAGGAAACTGCAATTTATGCTCTCAGTCATTTTTCACTATTTCATATGGCGAAGACAATATTATCTTAAATAACTTGATACTCATAGTAATAAGTAAATACAGAATGAATGATAAAGATCCATCTTTAATGTATTCTTAGTGAAAAGA